TTGCTCAATAAATACAACTGTTGAGCAATTGCAGCATCTATAGTGGAACATTGGAGGTTAACATGGAGAATGGAGGGTCTATTTGAAGAGTAGAAAGTCTGGTCCCAAGGAATGATGGTAATTGCATCAGGGGTTGGAGGGAGGATAGTAAAGGCTGTCTACAAAACCCATGTGAACCTCACAGTTACAGGCCTGAGATGCCCCACTGGGACCATCAGCCTATAGCTGCAGCGAGCTGGGGGTTTGACTGCTAGTAACCTCTCAGCTGCTGCAGTCAGTAGAAGCCTCAGCGGTGGCAGTGGTCCCAACAGCCTCAGCCGCTTCCTTCCCATCCATCTCTGCTGTGTGACAGGTGGGAACTTAAAAGCTCAGGTCATGTGTCTTGGCTGGCTAACCTACTTACCCCTTGAAGACACAGAGGCTGGGGCAGGCAGGGGCCAGGAGGAATTGCCTGAGGAATGGGGAAAGCACAGGGTGGGGTCGGGGAGCCCCAAGTGCTCCCGAGGGACCCATCGCTGCAAGCTTCTGGGGTGAGGGAGGGAATCCACGCGTGTATGAGATGTCCAGGGCAATGTCTGTGAGCCCCCTGCACAGCCCTGCACGCAGGCGCCTCCAGGATCAGCCCTGCGCCTGCTTGGGGGGCTGAATCTGCCTGGTGGACTAAAGATTTCTGCGGTCGGAGCAGGAGTCTGGGTACCAGTACAACCCTGCAGCTGCCCTCAAAGCTGAACTCCCCTTCTAACTAGTGTCCTCACCCTTAGAGAAGGCCCGTGAATGGGAGTGGAAGGAGAACGTCCTGACTCCTGCTTTTTTGAAACCCTTCGTACTTAGTTTTCGTATGGGAGAGGGCTGAATTCTAGGGCTAGAACCGAGGGGAACTGATCGAGGCAGGGTTTGTGCACAGACAGACCGATCGCTTCTCAGTCTCCTGCGTACCCCCCCGCCCCGCCGTCGTCACTGCCATTGTCTGGTCTACTTTCAGGGACCAGTCCCCACCGAGTCACTTCAGCTCCCCTTCTTTATGGCCCCCAAGCCGATTCTTGGCAGCCAGCCTTCAGTCTTGAATTCACAACCGCGCCCCCTTCGGTCCCGGCACCGAAGGCACTGCTCTGCTTTTCATCCTCGGCCCCCGCGGGCTGTGGGGCGGCACGGGCCCTTTAAGACCAGCGGGACCGGTGAGCAGTAGCTTGAAGAACGCAGCGGCCGGCGGGCTCGGAGGACACAGCTCCTGGGACCGGGCTCAGCGACCCGGGTGCGCGCGGCTCAGCGGAATCGGGCCGCGACCTCAGCCGCCCCTCCTCAACCTTGCCACCTCCTCGCACCGCAAGCCGGGCCCTCCCCGGCCGGCCGCCCCGCCCCGGCCCCGCCCCGGCCCCCGGGCCACCCGGCCCGGGAGCCGGGGCTCCGGTGCCGCAGCGGAGCCAGGTGAGGGAGCCCAGATCCAGTCTCCGGCCGGGGCAGCGCCGAGCGCCTCGGTCGCGCACGGCCCGGGACGCGTCAAGGTGACCGGGCGCGCAGGGATGAGCGCAGTGAGCCGCGGGAGTTCTGGTCCCCGGTACACGGGTCTTTGGGGAGCGCGGCGGTGCCAGGCATGGTCACCGGCGGAGGGGAAGCGCCTGGGCCCCGGGAGGGATCGCTGCGGGGGCCCAGAGCCTCCTCTCCGGTGCCCTCCGAGGGTCCGCCCTGCGCGCACCTCCCCGGCAGCTCCGCCGCCGCCCTCCCCTCCCCGAGCATCTGGTTGGGGGGGGGGAGCTTGCTGGCCTAAGGAGATTAGAGCCGCTCGGGAGGAGGCGCGGGGCGGCTTCGGGGGGCCGGGCTGGGGCTGCCCGGGACCAAGGAGAGGTCGGGGCTGAGCCGCTCCCTGCGGAGCGTGGGGCCAGGGCCAGCTCCCCAGGCCTGGAGTAGGCTGGTAACCACCGGGGGCGGGGTGGGGAGCATTAGAAAGCAAGGGGCTTTGAGCCGAGGCCGGGATCGGCCTGAAACGAGCAGGCCCTCTCCCTGCAGGCCCGGTGCGATGGCGGAGAAGGCGCTGGAAGCCGTGGGGTGTGCACTAGGACCGGGGGCTGTGGCCATGGCCGTGGCGCTGGAGGATGGGGCGGAGCCCCCTGTGCTGACCACGCACCTGAAGAAGGTGGAGAACCATATCACAGAGGCCCAGCGCTTCTCCCATCTACCCAAGCGTTCCGCTGTGGACATCGAGTTCGTGGAGCTGTCCTACTCCGTGCGGGAGGGGCCCTGCTGGCGCAAACGCGGTAGGGAGCAGCCTGTCCCGGGAGCATGTAGGGGACTGATGGGCCCCCGCCCCTCATCGCTGTGCACGCGGTTGGGGCACAAGACGCCTGCTCCCCACACCTGTGAGCGCTGCAGGACGCTAGGTTCTATTGGTTATTGAAGAAAATAGACCCTAGGACCTCTCATCTTTAATGAGTTTTTCTTCGTTAATCTTGGAGGATCCCCGCCTGTGAGGGCTAGTGTGAAAAGGAGGTGTGTGCAGGGGGCCTCCTGCTCGTTTATCAATACTCTTGCACCTGTTTTTAAAGATGTCCTCGTTCCTGTCATCTAACTCCATTCTTGCTACAGTCCCAAGCGGGAAGGGTGGAGGTTTGGCAAGATAGATGTCATGCTTGTATTACTAATAAGGAAACTGAGGCTCCAGGAAGTTACCTTGACTCGTTCCACAGCTAGTAAAGTGGCAGAGCTGGGCCAGAAGCCCAGAACAGCAGTTCCCCCTCCTCCCCTCTTCCATCAGGACATGTGCCAAGCTTGGACCACCCCTTGCACATCTATCCTGGATAGCCTAAGCTAGGAATGGAGAGGCTGGATTTGTTTCCCAGGGCTGGGTGTGGGCAGGGGTGGAGCTGGGACATTGTTGTCTCAGGTTTAAGAACTAGGTTTGGGGTTCTTCAAAGCAGGGCTGGGCAGGAGCTCTCCCTATGTTCTCCACCCTCACTCCCATGAGTGACAAAAAAGCCACAGGACCCAGCCAGTGGAAACTGAGGCACCTAGGCTCCCTGCCCAGCACCAGGTCCCTAAGGAGCCTCTTTCAAGCCTGAGACCAGCTCTGGGCAAAAGGATGATGTTATTTCCTTAGCCCTCTCATTTCCTCATAACTCCCGCCCCAGTGCTGAGGATGGAACCCTGGGCCTTGTGCATGCTGCCAAATGCTGTACTACTCAGCTACATCCCTAGCCCTTTTATATTTGTTTTTTAAATTTTGAGACAGAGTCTTGCCAAGTTGCTCTGGCTGGCCTCAAATCTGTAATCTTTCTGCCTCAGCCTTCTGAGTAGCTGGGATGACAGGTATACTCCACCACACCTGGATCCTCATAACTTTAAGGAGAAATGAAGACAAAAAGAAATGTGGCTAGACAGGTCTGCTTTTCCTTTCACCTTGCTAGCCCCATACTACTCCACTGTATATTTTGCTGCTTCTTCCATCCCTTTATCCTTTTTCTGCCCTCTGTCTTCTGCCCTCCTCTTTTGACTTATCTTTTTTTTTTGGTACCGGGGATTGAACTCAGGATCTTGCACTTCTGACGCAGGTGGCGGCACCACTGAGCTAAATCCCCCATCCTCTTCTGACTTTTCTTTTCCCTTGAATCCCTTGCCCCTTCTCTAGAGGGCAAAAACCAATTAGAGAGGCAGGAAGAAAAAGAGCAAGGGATATGGAGAGAGGAAGATTTTTAAAAGCAGGTGTGGTGGCACATGCCTAAAATCCAGCACTTGGGAGGCTGAAGCAGGAGGATCACTGCAAATTTGAGACCAGCCTGGGCTACATAGTGAGTTCAAGGCCATTCTGAGCTACATATCAAGACCTTGTCTCAAAACAAACGTAACAACCCTTCAAAAAAGAAAAATCAAAGATGTGGAGAGAGGGGGCTGGGGATTTACCTCAGTGGTTGTGGTGCCTGCCTCGAAAGCGCAAGGTCCCAAGTTTGATCCCCGGTACCAAAAAATAAGATGTGGAGAGAGGCAAATTTCTGCTTTTCCTAGTTAAGGGTTTGCCACCCATCTCCCTAACTGTATGTGGTATTTTACTTTTTAGAACCTTTTTCCATTATTATTAATAACCTCACTTAATATTCATAACAATCCTACTAAGTCTTTTGGAGCGTTATTATGATCCTTCTTTTACAGATAAATGCTTAGAGGCCCTAAAGACTAACTTGACAGAATTGCAGAGTTATTGACTGTGGCAAGACTAGAACTCTTAATGTCTCTCTGGCCCGAAGGCCTGGCAGGCCTCTTACATGTGGAGCACTTGTGGTCCAGAGACATGGGCTCCTACCCATGGAAGCTGTGTGACTTTGGGCAGATTGCTTCCCCTCTCTCAGCCTCACTTCCTCATCCATATGTAGGGATGGTAACAGTACCCACCTGGGGAGCTCAGCACATCTGCATCTATGAAAGTACTTAGTAAAAGGCAAGGGAATATAAGATGATATTTGTGCTAGACTTCAGTGTTTCGACCAATGCCTGGCTGCAACTAAATGTGGGGAAAGTTCATCATCACCAATTGCTTCCCTTGCACCAGAAATCACTTCCTGTGTGTGGCTCTGACAAATGTAGGGTGGTGAGCACCACCCAATACCCTTTTGACTGATGGTGAGGGTCAGAACCTATGGCTTCCTATCCTAGTGGAGAACTTGCTGTGTGACCTTGGGTGACTCCCTTGATGTCCTGGTCTGGGTGCCTCAGCCATATTGTTAGAGGAGCAGCTGTGGTGGCGAGGACCACCCAGGCAGGCAGTCGATGTGGTTGGGCCCTGATGGTGGGCAGGAGCTGATCCCCTCCTAATGGATGTGCCCAGAGGAACAGCGGGGCCACTTGGCATCCTGGGTGTAGTGGGCAAAGGGTGGAGTAAGCAGTTCTTTCTCCATTTCTGCTAAGGACGAACTGAGCACTATGGTCTTGGTGGAAGGCGGTAGAGAGCATAGTGCTAGGTGAGAGGTGTCATCCCCTTAGCAGGGCAGATCGGCAAATGTAGGAGGCAAGCCCTTCCTCACGGGCTTCCTCCTTCCTCTCCACCCCATCTCCCCAGGTTCCCCATGGAGTCCCTGCTCGCTGTGCCCTGCATTATTGTCTGTGTATATATTTGGTCATACTTCTATATAGCAGAGATTTCCCTCCTAAAGCCTTGAGAGCCTCTGCCTTTTGAAATCTTGCTCATTGTTAGCTCAAATGTCACCTCCTCCAGGAAGCCATTCCTTATGTCCCCCTCACCATCCACCATCATCAATGCCATTTTCTCCATTGTTGTGGCACATTATTTATACCGTCCTTCTGTCATGACTCATTTTTACTATTCTTCAGATCATAGATGTTTTCTTGTCCATCTGTCTTACCTAGACTCTGACCTGCTTGAGTGTCAAAATTGCCCTTCCTTGTTTTCTTCCTCCAGTGACTGGTACAGAGCTTGGTACATAGTAGATATCAATAAACATTTGTCAAATGGGATTAATAATCCAATATCTCTTTGTACATCCTCTCTATGTGTCAAGCACTATGTCATATGCTTTACTTAGCTTAACTCATTGCATCTTCTCAACAACTCTGTGAGATAGGTATATCATCCTCATTTTACAGATGAGGGACCTGGAGCTCAGAGAGGTTAAACAACTTGCCCAAGGGCACACAACTGGTAAGTGTGGAGCCAGAATTTGAACCCATATCCACCTGACTCCACACTGGTGCTCTTTATGCATAGACTGTCTCCTGTGAGTGAATGAAAGGTGAGATTTTGTGGGGCCATGTTAGGGGCTGGAGAGACAAGCTCAGAGGGGAGACAGAACACAAAGAAGGCAGTTTTTTTTTTATTTTTTTCCAGAATGAGGCAAAAGCTCTGCAGACACATGCTTCTATAGCAAAAACACTTACTGAGCCTCTATGACACAGACAGACTGTTACAAAGATGAGTAGGACAGAGACTGCCTCTCAGGAGCTCACTGACTAAGAGGGTGTGTGTGTGGGGGAGTGGACAAGCACAATAAGTCACAAACATGTTGGCATATCAAAAGTGCCTGGGGGGCTGGGGATTTAGCTCAGTGGTTCCACTGCCTGCCTCGAAAGCAGAAGGACCTGAGTTCGATCCCCGGTACCAAAAAAAAAATAAGAAAGTGCCTGGGGAGACAAAAGACAGGCAGCCAGTCCAGGCTGGACCAGAGGGAAGGTCTTCCTGAGACAGGGAGCCCTGTGGCTACGGAGAAGGCAAGGATCTTCTAGAACCTTGATTCCCTCTCCACAGCCACCTCTGAGATCCATAGGTTACCCACAGCCCTCAGAAGACTGTCACCTCTGGAACTTTGACATTAGTGCCAGTCATTTATTGAGGGACAAATGGGGTCATTGCTGGTACTCTTAAGGTCGCTCTTCCATTCTAACCCCATTACACTGAGCAAAGACTGCCTACTGATTTCACTGATAGCCACCATGGCTGCTCATAAGAGTTTTGGGGGGTGTCTCTATTCACTGTAGCCCTCATCAAAAATTCCTCCCTTTCAACTGCAGGTTATAAGACCCTCCTCAAGTGCCTATCGGGTAAATTCTGCCGCCGGGAGCTGATTGGCATCATGGGCCCCTCAGGGGCTGGCAAGTCCACGTTCATGAACATCTTGGCAGGATACAGGTGATGATGAGGATGGGGCAGAACTCAGGAATAGGACCCTTCAGGGGGCACAGAAAGTTTTCTACAATGACTTTGGCCCTCCCACAACCAATGTCCTCACAGGGAGTCTGGAATGAAGGGGCAGATCCTGGTCAACGGGAGGCTGAGGGAGCTGAGGACCTTCCGAAAGATGTCCTGCTATATCATGCAGGATGACATGCTACTGCCGCACCTCACAGTGCTAGAGGCCATGATGGTGAGGGCTGGACAGTTGTCCCCTTCCCTAACCCCCTCTTCTGTCTGCTGTGCCCCTCCTCCTCAGGGAGGGGCCATGGCTGTGCTCTTCTCACACACAGCTTTCTTGCCTGCTTGGGGCCCTAGGTCTCTGCCAACCTGAAGCTGAGTGAGAAGCAGGAGGTGAAGAAAGAACTGGTGAGTGAGGAAGGGAGGCAAGGGGACAGCTGCCCTTTGAGAGGCTCATGAGCTCTGCGGCCCTCAGTGGCAGTCAAGTGGGCTCAGGGGAGATGCTGTGAAGTCAGGGGGGGCGGTGGGGCTGGGAAGCAGATGCTCTGAAGCTGACCTGGGCTGGGTGGGGGTGGGCCCAGGTGACAGAGATCCTGACAGCACTGGGCCTGATGTCCTGCTCCCACACGAGGACAGCCCTGCTCTCTGGCGGGCAGAGGAAGCGCCTGGCCATCGCCCTGGAGCTGGTCAACAACCCGCCTGTCATGTTCTTTGATGAGCCCACCAGGTAATTCTCCCTGCACCTTGCATGGGGTTTCCTGCTCCCCTCAGCCCTAAGCCTGGGATGGAGCCCATGTCTCCTCTGTGGCTGGGGACAGAGCCCCTCCTCTGGGGCCCAGATAAAAGCTGACTCCTCTCCTCTCCTCCATCCTTGCCAATCTCATTGCAGCCAGCAGCCCATCTTCACACAGGCAGAGATCTGGATGTCCCCTTTGATTGATGCCTCCCTTTCCTCCCCCACAGCCATTAGTCACCAAGTCCTGTGGATTCTGCCTCCTTCTGGTAGCTCTTAGATTCACCCTGCCCCTTCTCTAGTGCCAGTGCTTGAGTTCAGGGCATCTTCACCACACTTTCATCCCCATCCCAGCCTCTCCCATCTACTTCTCTCCCCAGCCAGCCAGTGGCTAGAGTAGACTTTCTTTTCTTTCTTTCTTTTTTTTTTTGGTACTGGGGATCGAACTCGGGACCTTGCACTTGCAAGGCAGGCGGCGGCACCACTGAGCTAAATCCTCAGCCCCTATAGAGTGGACTTTCTAAAAGACAAGTTTGGCGAGACTTCCTCCCCGCTTCAAAACATCCAATATGTCCCATTTGCCCTCAGAACAGCCAGGTGGCTTACAAGGTCCTGGTTGGAGCCTACTTGTCCAACTTCATGCCTTGTATGTCATGTTGTAATAATGTTGAGTTGCTGGGGATTCCCTGGCCAAACTACATGCTTCATGCCTGTAAGTTTGCGAATGCTGTGTCTTCTGCCTGGAATCCCTCAACCTTTATCCCCCCCACCCACTCCCTCCACCAACTTAGGTCTTCCTTCTTCCAGTCACTAGAAAGCTTCTCTGACTGCTCTCTAACACCTTGCTATAAGCACAACTGATTTCCCACCTCTTTCACCTGTGTTTCGGTAACACTTTCCACATTTCCTAAAATCATCTGAGTTTGTCTGTCTGTCCTTCCTGACCAGTTTTATTTATACATCATTGAAATTTCCAGTACATGGCATACAACAGGTGCTCAAGTGGTGCACCCCTGTAATCCCAGCACATGGGAGGCTGAGGCAGGAGGATTGATGTTGGTTTGAAGCCAGCCTGGGCTACATAGCCAGACCCTGTCTCAAAAAGAAAGAAAGAAAATGCCTGAACTAACACAGAGTGTACAGACTATGGGGTTGGCCAAAGGGGCCTCTTCCTGCCAGTTCATCCCCTTCACAGCAGCTGCCCCACCCCAGAGACTCCCTCCTGTTGCCCCCACCTGGCTCATTGGGCATCCTGGTGGCCTTTCTCTGGACAGCGGTCTGGACAGCGCTTCTTGTTTCCAAGTGGTTTCCCTCATGAAGTCCTTGGCCCATGGGGGCCGCACTGTCATCTGCACCATCCACCAGCCCAGTGCCAAGCTCTTTGAGATGTTTGACAAGGTGAGTGTCTCTGGGCCTTGAAGAAGACTGGCCTAAGATGGAGGAACAGAAGGGAGTCGGGAGGGATACTGGAGGGGACCCTGCCTGCCCACTGGTTGTGTTTTTCTTTTTACTCTTTCTTTCTTTCTTTCTTTCCTTTTCTTTCTCTCCCTCCCTCCCTCCCTTCCTTCCTTTCTGAGACAGGATCTTGCTATGTAGTCCAGGCTGGCCTTGAACTCACTATGTAGCCCAGGCTGGCCTCGAACTCACAGCAATCCTTCTGCCTCAGCCTCCCAAGTGCTGGGACTACAAGCGTGCACCACCACACCTGGCTGGTGGCGTTTTCCTCACCCTTTCCTTTCTGCCGTAGCTCTACATCCTGAGCCAGGGTCAGTGCATCTTCAAGGGCATGGTCACCAACCTGATCCCCTACCTTAAGAGGCTGGGCTTACACTGCCCCACCTACCACAACCCAGCCGACTTCAGTGAGTGGGCCACTAGCAGGCCAGAATGCGGTGGGGGGCTGGTCCTGGGACCTCTGGAAGCAGGGAGCTCACTGCCACCTGCCCACCCACACACCCAGGAGGGAATGAAAGATCAGGCTCTGCTAAGCATTCGCTCTGTGTCCCCCAGTCATTGAGGTGGCCTCTGGGGAGTACGGAGACTTGAACCCCATGCTGTTCAGGGCTGTGCAGAATGGGCTTTGTGCCATGGCTGAGAAGAAGAGCAGCCCGGAGAAGGATGAGGTCCCTGCCCCCTGCCTCACTTCCCCTCAGGTGAGTCATGTGGACGGGAGGAGAGAAGGGACATGGACAGTGGCCCCGACGAAGGGGCTGTCCCCTAGAGCTGGGAAAAATATCTGACTTAGAACAGACTGATCATGAACAGTTGTGTGACCTTGGGCATGTTGCTGACCTTTTTGTGATTCAGTTTTCTCATCCACTCACTCAGCAAACTCTTACAACTACTTCTACTGCACTGGCCCCAGTGCTTTAGGGCCACTTGGTGAGTGTGACCAGCATGGCCTCGTGGCCAATGTGGCTGCCTGTCATCTTTACCTGATTAATCACCCAGGGGTGCTGAGGGACTAATTAGATAATCACGGAAAGCTCTGCACAGGCCACTGGAGCAGCAGGTGCTTGTCTAGTGCCAGGTCTCTTTAGATGAGACACTGTCATCCTTGAAAACCAGGGCCTTGATTAGTGTTATTTTTGTCATTGATGTCACTATTAAGTAATTTTGTGAAGCTGGTGGCCTAAGGGTATCTGCCCCTTTTTTTCAGTAGTGAAGATAGAACCCAGAACCTTTGGGGGAGCTATACCCCCAGCCCTTTTTTATTTTGAGACAGGGTCTCAGTAAGTCACCGAACTGGCCAGGCTTGGCTCAAACTTGTGATCCTCCTGCCTCAGCTTCCTAGAGTACTGGAATTAGAGGCATTGCCACCATGCCTGGCAACAGCTCCCTCTACCCCAATACTGGGAATTGAACCCATGGCCTTTGCACTGAGCAAAATCCTAAGGCCTTAAACAATTTTTTTTTTTTTAATTTGAAGACAAGGGGGTGGGGATTAGCTCAGTGGTTCTGCCGCCTGTCTGAAAAGGGCAAGGTCCCCAGTTCAATCCCCAGTACCAAAAAAAGAGTATAATTTAAAAATTTCAAGACAAGTTCTCATTAAATTGCTAAGTTGCCCAAGTTGGGCTGGAACTGGTGATCCTCCTGCCTTAGCCTCCCAGGGCACCTCTCTCTCTCTCTCTCTCTCTCTCTCTCTGCCTTTCTCTGATTCAAACCCCACAGCCCAGTTAGTTTTTAGGCACGTAGCTTAGCAATGGAGAATTCTCCTTCTGCATCCTAGGGCCCTTGCTCTGGGAAGGGCTCAGGGGTTTTTCCATTCACCAGTCTGGGCAGGCAGTTGGTGGGAGGGGTAGGGTCACCTGGCTCCATTTCCTCTCCCCAGGAAGTGGATCCCATTGAAAGCCACACCTTTGCCACCAGCACCCTCACCCAGTTCTGCATCCTCTTCAGGAGGACCTTCTTGTCCATCCTCAGGGACACGGTGAGGCATCAAGCTGGGGGACAGGAGGTACAGGTCTGCCCTTTGAGGCTGTAGGGTCACAGCAGGTGGGATGGGAGCTGGGAACCCTGCCCCATAGCCCTCTGGTGCCCCTGTGGTTGTATCGGAGTTCCCACCCCAGTGCGGCTGCCTGTTCTCCCAGGCCTGAGACACTCTGCTCCTCTTGGCCACTCCTCCCCAGGTCCTGACCCACCTGAGGTTTGTGTCCCACGTGCTGATTGGCGTGCTCATTGGTCTCCTCTACCTGCATATTGGCGACGATGCCAGCAAGGTCTTCAACAACACCGGCTGCCTTTTCTTCTCCATGCTGTTCCTTATGTTTGCTGCCCTCATGCCAACCGTGCTCACCTGTGAGCAGAGCTGTCTGGGTGCGGGTGTGGGCACTGGGTAAGAGGCAGGGGCAGAGGTCGGCCAGCAGCACCTCATCTGCCTGTGTCCTCAGTCCCCTTAGAGATGGCAGTCTTCATGCGGGAGCATCTCAACTACTGGTACAGCCTCAAAGCGTACTACCTGGCCAAGACCATGGCCGACGTGCCCTTTCAGGTAAGCTTTGTCCTCTGCTTGCCTTCTGCCCCCCCATCTTGCTCCTCCTCCTCCTCAGCATTGTCACTTTCACCCTTTCCTTCTACTTACTTAGCGAATAGCTATTGGTACTTACTATGCACCAGGCTCTGTGCTAGGTGCTAGGGAGATGGCAGCAGACTAGACCCACAGAGTTTTTTGTTTTTTTGTTTTCTTGAGACAAGGTCTCACTGTGTAGTTCGGGCTGGCCTTGAACTCACTCTGTAGCCCAGACTGGCCTGGAATTTGTGTTGATCCTCCTGTCTCAGACTCCTAAGTGCTGGGCTTGCAGGTATGTGCCACTGCACATGATTTAGATTTATATAGTCTTTTTGTTGTTGTTGTTGTTACCAGGGATCAAACGCGGGTCCTTACGCTTTCGAGGCAGCTGGCACAACCACTGAGCTAAATCCCCTGCCTAGATTGATATAGTCTTAACCTTGTGGAGCTTATATTTTAATGGAAACTACTAACAAAAGGAAAATAATAACCCTGCAAGTGACTCTAAATCCTATTATGTGCAGAGGGTGTGCCTCAGTGGTGCTTGCTTGCCTGGCAGGTGCAAAGCCCTGGGTTCAGTCCCCAGCACTGCTGAGAAAACAAAACAAAAGATTATTAGAAGCAATAGAGACCAGGGTAGGCTCTGAAGCTTTCAGCCCCTTGCAAGCTGCAAGATGTTGAGCAAGTCATCTTTGCTGCAGTGCCATCTGTAACATGGAATGACAGCAGTATCTACCTCCGGGTTGTTTACTATATTTTATTTTTGAGACAGGGTCTCACTTTGTAGTTCAGGCTGCCCCTGAACTCAGTATTTAGCCCAGCCTAGCCTTGAACTCATGGTGATCCTCCTGCTTCAGCTTCCTCAGGGTTGTTTATGAGAATTGAATGAATACATGTGAAGTTCTTTTGTGTGTGTGTGGGGGGTATTCAGAATTGAATCCAGAGCCTTCACACTGAACTACATTTCCAGCCTGTTTATTTAGGTTTTTTGAGTCAGGGTCTCACTATGTAGTTCAGGCTGGCCTTGAACTCACTATGTAGCCCAGGCTAATCTTGAACTCACAGCAATCCTCCTGCCTCAGCCTCCCAAGTGCTGGGATTACAGGCATCTGCCACCACACCTGGCTCTTTTTTTATTTTTTTATTTTGAGACAGGGCTTCACTAAATCACTAAGTTTTCCAATCTGGGCTTAAACATGAGATCCTCCTGCCTCAGCTTCCCAATGCTGACATTACAGGTATGTGCTACCATGACCAATGATGTAAAACTCTTAGAATAGCATTTAGCATGTACTGAGTGCCCAAAACATGTTAGCTGGTTTTGTTGTGATTGCCAATATTGCCTTTTTCCAAGCACATTACAAAAATATCTTCCTTCCTCAGGTGGGCAGTGAAGTGTGCCAGGGCACAGCACTTAGTGCAAGGAACATAAGCTAGATCTTGGCTTCTGGTTGCCTCTGGTTGGATTGCTTTGTGCAAGTAACAGTCTGTAGAACTGTTTATAGCGAATTCAGTCCCTGCCCAGGGATTGATAATCTTTAAAAAAAAAAAAAAATGGCTGGGCATGGTGATGGAGGCCTGTAATGCCATTACTGGGGAGGCTGAGGAAGGAGGATTATAAATTTGAACCCAGCCTGGGCAATTTAGCGAGGTCCTGTCTCAGAGTAAACAATAAAAAGGGCTGGGGGGTGCTGGGGATTTAGCTCAGTGGTTTCGCCACCAGCTGTGCAGGCGCAGGACCCGAGTTTGATCCCGGGTACCAAAAAAAAAAAAAAAAGGGGACTGGGGATATAGCTCAGTATGAAGGCTCTGGGTTCGATCCCCAGTATTGCAAAAATAAATAAATAAATAAATAAACAAATAAACAAATAAATAATAAATAATAATAATTTGGGGCTGGTTGGCAAAGTGCTTGCCTAGCATCCATGAGGCCCTGGGTTTGGTCCCCAGCACCACAAAATCAAACAAATACAGGCTAGGCATGGTGACAAACACCTGTAATCCCAGTACTCGGGAGGCTGAGGGAGAAGGATCAATTGAGTTCGAGGCCAGCCTGGACTACATAGTGAGATGCTGTCTCAAAAAACAAAACAAAACAAAACAAAACAATAAGCAACAAACCCAAAAAAACCACAATAAATCATGGTTTGCATTTGAGTTTTATAAAATGATATTATGAATACATATAGATAGTAGAGTGAAGCAAATTAACATGTCTTTCAATGCTTAAGTTACATTTTTGTGATAAGAGCAGCTAAGATGTCTAACAAAAATTCCTGATACAATGTAATTTTATTAACAATAGTCACGGAATTAAGAACCAAGAGAGATTATGTAAAGGTGCAAATTTCCAATGATGAATGTCATTATATTGTATACCTAAAATGTACCAATAAAATTAATTTAAAAATACCCAATAGTCACAGTGTTACATATTAGCTCTCTAGAGTTGCTGATCCTACATGTCTGTTTCTTTGTATCCACACAGTTGATAGTCTCAAAGGGGAGCAAAACCTTGTCCTAGAGAGAATTAATTCATTAATGATGTAAGGAACAAGCTGGTTCAGATGGGAAGGACTTTAAGTGCTCACAAGAGGCCAGAGTGGGCCTCATGGAAGAGGGCCTGAGGAGTGAGGCTCATAGGGTCACAGAGGGAGGGGATGGGTGTCAACCTGGGGGCGGCATGAACAAGAGTGCAGGCAGGGCAGGCCTGGGCTCTCTGGGACTAGGCATTTTATTTTAGCAGTTTGTTCCCAGGTGAGGGTCTTAGGCCTTATCCCTGGTTCAGAGTCCCCTGCCCACCTTGTGCCTGCTCCCCAGGTGGTGTGCCCAGTGGCGTACTGCAGCATCGTGTACTGGATGACAGGCCAGCCAGCAGAGACCAGCAGGTTCCTGCTCTTCTCAGCCCTGGCCACTGCCACTGCCTTAGTGGCCCAGTCTTTGGGACTGTTGATTGGAGCTGCGTCCAACTCCCTACAGGTGAGAAGGTTGGCATGGAGGATTCACAAGCAGGGCTGGGTCTTATGGGAGAAATAGGCGCTGGTATCAGGGGTGGGATGGTCTTCTGGAAACCCTGGGGGCACCCTAATCCTGGTCACCCCTGTGATGGCCTGGCCCCCCCTGCCTCCCCTCCAGGTGGCCACTTTTGTGGGCCCAGTAACTGCCATCCCTGTCCTCTTGTTCTCCGGATTCTTTGTCAGCTTCAAGACCATCCCCACGTACCTGCAGTGGAGCTCTTACCTCTCCTATGTCAGGTGAGTGTTTTTTCCCTCCAGCCTCCCCTCTCTTTCCCTCAGGAGGCCCTACCCAGCACTTCCTGTGGTGTACCTGGCCTGGTTCCATCACCCTTTGGGGGAGGAGTACCCTGGCTGGCCTGCAGAGACGAGGATGATGCAGCTGGGCTCTGGTGACTTGCTGAGGGAACAGGGACCCCACGCTTTATGTCTTGCTCTGATGCCCCTGCTTACCTAGGTATGGCTTTGAGGGTGTGATCCTGACCATCTACGGCATGGAGCGTGAGCAGCTGTCATGCTTAGAGGAATCCTGCCAGTTCCAGGACCCGAGGAGTATCCTGCAGGCTCTGGATGTGGAGGATGCCAAGCTCTACATGGACTTTCTAGTCTTGGGCATCTTCTTCCTGGCCCTTCGGCTGCTGGCATACCTTGTGCTCCGTTACCGGGTCAAGTCTGAGAGATAGAGCCTTGCCCTGGCCTTGCCCAGCCCCCGCAGCAGAAAACCTTCAGCCTCAGCCCTTTGGGACTGTTTTAATCTTATAGACTTGGGCACTGGTGTCTGGTGCAGTGCCCTCCCCTCCCTTTGAATGCTCCAGACCAGCTGTTGGACTGTACTGCCAGCTGCCAGCCACCAGCTGTGGCCCTGGTGTGGGAACTCCAGGACACCCACCATGCCCAGGAGCCTGGCATGGGCAAGGTTGATGCAGTTTGTAGCTTCCTCCCTTCTCTGTTCACCACCTGCATGCAAAGACCACTGGGAGGCTGCCACCCTCCTTCTTGTCCTTGGCACCCTTCTCTGTTGTCTGCCTGGGAGCCATGGAATCTCTGGGGTCCCACTTACAACTGACCAAAGTGGCTCCCTCTGGGGGTCTCTACAACACCAGTGTTTGTAAACTGGGCTGCTGTAAGGTTGGAGCTCCAGGGCTGGACCCTGGTGGAGTCTCCTGGGAGTCTTGTCCTGGATGTTGTGATGGAGCAGGGAGGGGCTCTGGAAGTCTCTTCTTCCTCCTACCTCTCTCAAACTCTCAGACACCTGGCTGATGTGGACAGTCTGCTGGGACAGAAGCTGGATTTTCTGTCTGGGTCACCATCCCCAATCCTGGGGATTGGACAGGCCATTGGATGTTCTGTTCCCCTTGGTCAGGAGCAGGGATGGGGGCATTCTGCAATACTGTCTGTGATTCTCTCCCACTGGCCACTGCAACTGGAGAATGCACTTTATTTCGGAGGGTGAGAGGGGAGAAAACCCAGCCTTCCCTTCTTGCTCCTGACACATGGTTCCACACACTCTCTCCCCTCTCAGAGTTATGGGCGCATACATGCAAGCAGGCAATCTCAGTCCCCCACAGGCTCCACCCCGATGGCTCACAGGAAGACCGGAGGTGGCATGGCAGTGATGGCAGTGGGTGCTGTGGAGAGGGCAGTGCCAACCTCCTCCTGGGGATCCCATGCTGGAAACTAAGGATGGGGCTGGTATTGCCCCGGTAGGCTCCAGGATCTGGAAGTGTCAACCCCCCAGTCTTCCTCCCAAGCCAGGGGTTGGCACTGGGCACAAGCCTCCTGGAGTCATTCAGGAGCCAACAAGCACAAGCAGGGGCATAAGTTGGCCTTGACTCTCGCCACCTCACAGCCCTCCTTTTGTGCTCTAAGCTGGCATTTTCACTCTCTTACGCCTTGCCCAGCTGCCTGGCCTTCCCATCAGCGGGTGGCCCCTCAGCATCAGAACAACAAGCCTTGGGCACCCAGGTGGCAGACGCACCTACAGCATGTCTGACTCTCCAGGTGGGCCTGGGATCATTCTGATTTCCCCTCCCCAGGGGTCTCCCCTTACTCCTGTACACACACCTCTCCCCCTCCCTGATCTTCCATCCACAGAGATGCCAGTTGTATTGGTGGGATTTCACCCATTATTAATAAAACCTATATTTATACAGTACACAGTGTGTGAGTGTGTGGGTCTGCCACCTAGTACCATAGGCTGTGAGGAGGGCTTCAGAGCTCTTGGCAAGAGGCCTGTGAACTTCAGCAAGCCTGTGGCAGGCAATGGTAAGTTCTAGGTCAATAAAGTTAGCAAATGTGGGTCTGATGAAATATTTGTATTGTGCTTCCCACACCCTCCAGTGCTTCATGGTCATCATGTCAAGGGTGGAGGTCCCTGCCGGCCTTGCACTGTACGCCTTGACAAACCATTATGCCATTGTATGGAAGAAAGGACTGAGACTTGGGTTAAGGAATCTGCTAAGGGCCCTCTGCTGGTGGAGATCGAGCCTCCCATTCCTGTGCTTGGCATTGATTGGTGTCCCTGTTCATGGTGGATCCTCATGCTGCCTGTGGTGTCACATGTCTGTGGCATGGTGTATTCTTACTGGAGTGATACATGATGGTATCTTCAGTGCTTAGAGGGGAAGGAGTGTCTCCATGAGCACAAAGAGAACCTCATCCTAGGATGTGAGTGGCATGGACCTCACTGGGCTTACTCTGCTTTTTCTCCTTTTGTTCCCTACGTTTTTCCTACCAAGTCACATTTTGCAGGACTGAGCCATTATCTACCAGGACTGAAGACCATGGGTTTGGAGTAGGCAGGTGTCCAGAGGGTCTTGAGGACTGGAGGCAGGATGGTCTGAGAAGCAGCAGATTGTCTCTGCTTCTGAGACTGAAGCTTGGGAACTGCAGGAAGGGACTGGCACCTGTGCTGCCAGCTGCCTGGAACACCTTACTTGTGCTTGGCTAGAGATGGAGTAACTGTTTCTTGTGGGAGTTTGGGCTGAGAGTAGGAAATGGAAAGAAATCTGAATCCTAGTTCTGGAATTCTAACTAGCTTTAGGGAGAATTTTGAGAACCTCTTTTTCCCTGGAGTGATGCCAGTAGATGGCTCTCTGTTTGTTTTGAGGCAGAGTTTCAGTATATAGTTCAGGCTGGCCTTGAACTCGCCATGTGGTCCAAGCTGGCCTGAAGCTCATTGCAATCTTCCTGACTTAGTGACCCAGAGTGCTGAGATTACAGGTGTGGACCACCATGCCTGGCTCAGTAGATGGCTCCTTACAAGTCAAAGGGCATAGAAGACCATCAACTAGTCTTTCTGAAGTGTTCATCTTTACTCTTTTTAAAAATGCAAATACTTGAGGCAGGCAAATCAGGACTGAGTTCAAGGCCAGACTGTCTCAAACAGACAGACAGACAATTACAAAACTCCAATAAAACAAACAGAACCCCTAGAAAAATCCAAACAAACAAGCCAGGTGTGATCGTGCACGCTTGTAATTTCAGCTACTCTGGAGACTGAAACAGAAGAATCACAAGTTCAAAGCTGGCCTGGGTAACAGTGAGATCTTCTCTCCAAATAAAAATTTTAAAATGAGCTGGGGATGTAGCTTAGCAGTGGCATGTCCCTGGGTTCCATCTCTAGTAACACACACACACACACACACACACACACACACACACAGAGAGAGAGAGAGAGAGAGAGAGAGAGAGAGAGGGAGGGAGAGAATTGCAAATACTCGTGGAAGTGTTTACCATCATTTACAAAGTCACACAATTGTTTTCTCAGAAGCTCAAGAAGACAAAAATAGCTGTTCTGGAGACAGCAAGAGTCCTTCTGACACAGAGAATATTTGTGGAATAGTTCACATATTTGCAAAGAGAGCTTTTATGATTCCCACAGCAACTCCAAGAGGCAGCTAGGAGGCTGAGGCAGGAGAATCACCATGATCACTATTACTTCCTCCTTTTGATACAGGAAAAATATAACTCCCTCTGCCATGCCACCCTGTCTTGGAACCAGCCAGACATGCTACGTTCATGGTCTCTCAAGATCAAGGAATGAAGTTGCAAACCAAAGGAGGAAATTGGGAGACTTTTATTGGAAATAGGGGAAAGAAGAATAGCTTCTGGATTATCAGGAGGGGTCCTGGGTAGCCACTGGAGCCCTTTGTCAGGGGTAATTTATACAGCAATATCACAATGTGAGCACAACATAGGTTAGACTACAATCAACCTATAGGATTATAAGTACAGTTACTTAGCTAATATTGATCCAATAGGGAAACGAGTCACATAGCAAGGGCACATGGAAAGAGCAAAGGCATTTTGGGGAAGGGAAGTGTTATAGCTTGTATCTAGATGTCCCCCCTAAGCCTCATGTGCTCATAAGTGGGGTTTTTCAGAGGTGGCTGGATCTAGGATGTGTATATATGGATTAAGGGTGTGTGAAAACTAAATTAGTCCACTGATTGGTTTAGCATAGTTCTGGGTGTGGATAATGGAAAGGCCCACTCTGGGTGTGAGTGGTGCCAGCTTGTAGCCTGGATGGGGTAAAAGAGAAAGGAAGGCTCACTGATGGTACTGCTTCCTGTCTGCTCTGCTGAGGATTATTTCTCCTCTGCCATGCCGCCCTGGCTTGGAGCCAGCTGACTATAAACTGAAACCTCTACAAACTGTGAGCTAAAAGAAACCTTTCCTCCTTTAACTTGTAGGTGTTGGGTATTTTGTCCCAGCAACGAGAAAAGTAGCTAAGACACAAGGTGAGTATGAGTTTGGATGTTCTGGTCGCCCACCTATGTGTCTGATGCCTGTCTGATGCCCATCTGGGCCCACTGGACCAGCTGGTGCTCATTGTAGGATAATCTCAAGGTGCTGTTTATTTTGCAGGCCTGGCTATTCTATCTCCATCCTGAGGCCTGGGTCTTTTTAGATTTGCCTCTAGCCACAATTCTGATGTCTATTTTTTTTTTTTTGTGCCAGGGATCGAACTCGGGATCTTGAGCTTGCGGGGCAGGCGCCAGAACCACTGAGCTAAATCCCCAGGCCTGATGTCTATTTTTTTTAATGACTTCCTTGAGGGCCCAATCCCTCTCTGATTGTATATGATTTTTTATCTAACTTAGCTGCCTACCATACTTTTACAGAAAAGGAAACTGAGGTTAGGAGAAATGACTTGAGCATATTCTCAAGACACTGTGCTCTTTCCATTGGTGAGCTACATGCTGTGTCTTCCACTAGTCCCATAATCCGCCAAGCTGGGGGTAAATGTGTTCTGCCATCTAGGTTTGTTTCCCTAAGTGTTGCCCTAAGAGCTCACATGTTGGGACTCAGCAATCACACTCTTTAACACAACTCCATGCTCCATGCCTATGTGGAGTGCTGGAGGTTGGAGTTGACCAAGACAGTTCTTCATGCTATGGCTCTTAAGGAGCCTGGTGCCGCATCCTGAGATCAGACACCAGAGGACATGCCCATAGAATGATTTAGTGTTTCTGTCTGCAAGAGACTGGTCAAATTATATGTTACTAATAAAACTTACATGCCTGTCATACACATGGAGGAGGGGAACAGCTTGCTCTGAAGCAGTCCAGTAACTGCAGCCAGGTGACTGCCTGCCTGGCAGGGCTGGGTAAGGGGCGTGATACTAGAAGAGTCTCCCAGGCCCAAAAGTTTAGCCTGAGACCACAGTTTTAGTTTGCTCTAATTTCCCTCCTTTGGAGAACTTCCCATAAAATGCAAATGTGCCATATTCCCTTGAGCTTCTCTTGCTAAATTGCCCAGGCTAGCCTTGAACTTGGGACCCTCCTGTCTGCCCTGACCCTTTTTTTTTAACATACAGTTCAAATGTCATTTCTTCCACCAGAAGCAGTTAGTAACTTCCTCTTCTTGCCTTTCCTAACATTACCTCTGAGGCATATGATTTGTAAACAGTTTGCAAGGCATGTTCTGGTGAGGAACCCAGGCCTTAGTGCTGAGGCTTAGACCTGAGGTTTTGGGCCCCCAAAGCCCCCACCATAAGTCACATAAGGAACACCCTGGGCTCACATAGCCCAGATGGAGGAAGCACCCATGAGGGTGGGTGCTCCATACTAGCCCAACACCACGTGTTGAGTGAATGGACAAATGCCTAAATGAAAGAGGAACATTGTCTTTAGTTGGGATGGAGTAGACCATAAAGCTCTCTTCCCAGTCCTGCCCTGGGGAGCCTGTTGGTGAGTTCCTTGTTGCATATCTCTGTTCCCTGCACGTTGCACACTTATGTTTGCATGTGGAGGCGTGCCTTGGTTGTGGGCGGAGGGTGGTTCCTCCACCTGGGCTACGTGAGCCCTGGGTGTTCCTTGTGTGGCATAAGGGTGGGGGGTTTGAGGACCTGAAGCCTCAGACAGGAAAAGCAGGTTGGTGTGAGAATTGACCTTCAACCCCATTTTTCTGTCCTCTCCAAAATGACAAGAAGCTGCATACAGAGACCTGAGGCCTGAAGTGTGCCAGGTACAAAAGGGAGGACCCAAGAAGGGCTCAAGTATTTGTCTGCAGGCAGACTGAGAAGGTGACAGGCGTTGGGGGTGAGGGAGGATAGAGAGAAAGGGGTAGGATGCTCTGGGGATGGATATATCAGGAAGGCCCTGGGGTGAGATAGGAAGGTCTGGGCTCCAGATTCTGTTTCTGGCTCATCCAGTTTCCTACTGGGTCAGCCTGCCAAGTCATTTCATCCTTCTGAGCGTCAGTGTCTTCATCTGTAAAATGGGCGTGTCAACAACTCAGCCTGGGAGGTAGTGAGGTCATTGGGCCGGACTGGCGCTGGGGAACCTGCAGGGGGCAGTACCGGCGGCGGGGCGCGCTTACCCAAGGCCGTGCCCGGGGAGGGGCAGGGCCGGCGAGCCGGTTGGAGCTGGAGTTCCAGCTCTGCGCCTGCTGTCGCTGACCCCTCCCGCCGCCAGGGCTCCGCGGCTTGCTTGCTCGCTCGGGTGCGCGCGGGGTGGCTGCCGCGGCCGGCGGGGCGGGCGCAGGCGGCCAGGAAGTGCCGCGCCGAGGGAGCCAGGAACTAGGAGTCAGTGCGACAGGGCCGCGGCAACGGGCTCCCGGGCCTGGACAGCCGCGGGTAAAGGCCTAGCTGGGTCGGTCACCCCTCCGGCCCGGCTAGGCGGCTGCGCTTGGCGGGGGCACGGGCGGGGT